CCCCTCCTTTCCTGTCTAAAATTGCTTCCATGCTTTTTTTTCCTTTACGTCTTTTCATTTCTCCTGCTCGCTCTCTCTCACTCACTACCTTCTTTTGTCAGTCTTTCATTCAGTCATGTGGGGATTCCACTGCCTGCCTGTCTGAACACGGCGCGCTGGGATGTGCCGTGGGCAAGAGACAGACAGAAAACAGGGAAAGGGAAATCAGCGAGGGTATATAGAGGCAGAGAATGATAAAGTGAGGGTCACGCAGGTTTAAAGAGGGACGGCACACATTTCTGAGACGTCTGGTTCAGGATGGACACCATGATGCTGCAGGAGAAACTGGTGGAGAAACTTCTGTGTCCCCGAACCAGAACCACCAGACAGAAGGTTCGCTGCTAATGTCTTGTAATCTATCTATCTATCTATCTATCATGTATCTATCTGTTAGAAAAGCTGCTTCAATTTAGTTTATTAGGTGTTATTGCAAATAGTATGATGCCACATGCATGATATTGTGTAAATTTTCTTTGTGTTAGTGGTGTTTAGGATACTTAAAGGATTTAAACTGACTATTAAACTAGCAGGCACTTAGCAACACCCTAGCAACCACCCTAGCAGCCTCATAGTAACATGCTCAAATCATTCAGAACAATTAAACAACTGCAGAGCAACACCCTAACAAAAAGGAAATTGTACCTTTTTATCTCACCTTTTGGACTTTTTTCTCACAATTCTAAGTTTATATATCACTTATTTGGACCTTTTTAAAATTTTGAGATATTAAATTAACTCAATATTGCAAGATATAAGCTCAGAGTTGCGAGAAAGAAAGTCAGAATTGTGCGATAGAAAAATCAGAATTGCAAGATGAAAACTCAAAATTGCAAGAAAAATTTTTTTTTTCTCAGAATTGCGAGAAACAAAGTCTGAATTGTGAAATATAAACTCAGAAATGTGAGGGAAAAAGTTAGATTTGTGAGATAAAAGCAATTACTTTTTTTATTACATTTCAGAAACGAGCTTCCATAATGTTGTGTTAAAACACATGATAAACAACCCATTTTTAGATTTGTAACCAAAGTTAATTAAATATATTTTTTAGCTTTTATTTATGAAAAGATATAATGCATTACAATGTGCATTATGAATACCTTTAAAATGCATTATACATAAAGGCTACAGGTAAAGTATTACCACTTTTTCTTCAGAGAATGTAAAAATCTAGTTGATGTTTTGCACACATGCATCTTTATCCCTCTTCTCTCACACACACTGTGCGCGTGGGGTGAGATACGCCAGGGTTTCTCTTTTCTAGGATGATGGACAGCGGAAACACACATGACGGGTTGTGAGATGCTCTGGCAGTCAGAGGAGTTGAGTTTGGCCCAAGTTTGAGTGTGTTAAAAGGCCTTTTCAGCTTATGTAAATATGGCTTCTGTGTGTGTGTATATGGTCAGTTGGTTTGGCCTGCACACTGAGCTGGTTCTGCTGTCGGGTTTAATAGTGATTTTGCTTCCCGTCAGTAATTTCTGTGTTCTCCGTGTCAGTTTGAGCGGTTATGACTGCTGAGCGGTTTCCGGCACAGTTGGTGGATCTGCAGGAGTCTCAACACTACTGGGCTTTTCATTCTCTGCTATTTTTGTGCCAGTCTGACGATTCACATACGTTCGGTCTTAAAGGGACAGTTCACCCAATCATTCATCCTTCAAAACCTGTATAACCTTCTTTCTTCCATAAAATGCAAAAAGATTATACAGAACGTTAATGTTTTGACTTGTGACTTTCAGGACAAGCAGTATGTTGGCTTCGCTACGCTTCCTAATCAGGTCCACAGGAAGTCGGTGAAGAAGGGCTTTGACTTCACTCTGATGGTGGCAGGTATGTCTGAAATCATCACTATATTTGTCACTGACTTCATGCTCGTCTTTGTCATTAACAAGAGCATTTTGTGTGTTTTTAGGTGAATCTGGATTGGGAAAGTCTACTCTAGTAAACAGCCTCTTCCTCACAGATCTCTATAAAGACAGAAAATTACTAAATGCTGAAGGTAAGAATTGTCTTAAAGAAACAGTACACCCAAAATAACAGTTCTGTTATTGTTATGTAAGAATACAATATACACTGCTGTTTAAAATTTGGGGTCTTTTGGGTTTGGATTTTTTTTTTTTTTTTAAAGAAATTAATACTTTTATTTAGCAACAAATTCATTAAATTGATCAAAAATGTGACAGTAAAGATATTTATAATGGATAAGATTTCTATTTCAGATAAATTCTGTTCTTTTGAACTTTCTATTCACCTAAGAATTATACAAAAATCTATGTATCAGTGTGTCTACAAAAATATGAAGCAGCACAACGGTTTTCAACATTAATAATAATCATAAAATTTTCTTGAGCAGCAAATCAGCATATTAGAATGATTTCTGAAGGATCATGTGACACTGAAGACTGGAGTAATGATGCTGAAAATTCAGTTTTGATCACAGGAATAAATGACATTTTACTGTATATATTATACATTTCACAATATTACTGTTTATACTGTATTTTGATTAAATAATGTCGATGCAGGCTTGGTGAGTAGAAGAGACTAAAAAAACAACAACAAACAAACAAGAAGAAAAAAAAACACACACAAAAAAAATCTTACCAACCCCCAAGCTTTTTAAAGGGGTCATATGATGCGATTTAAAGTTTTCCTTTCTCTTTGGAGTGTTACAAGCTGATTGTGCATAGATAAGATCCCTGAAGTTGCAAAGGCTAAAGTCTCAAAACCAAAGAGATATACTTTATCAAAGTTAAGACTCTGCCACGCCCCCCTAAAACGCCTCATTCTAACACGCCCCCACATATCTACATCACTATGTGGAAATATTTGCATAATGTGGCCCAAATGTGCACGCAAAGAAAGAAGGCGTGGTTTCAGTAACCGCAGTTAGTGTTGAAGCAGCCATGTCAGGGAGACGCTGTGTGTTTCTAGGCGAAAGCAAAAGCATATGATGCACTTTAAAAAAGCATCATATGACCCCTTTAACAGTAGTGTAGCATATACATACGTGTACACCTCTTCAACAGGTTTGTTAGTTTGAGTGTTATATTGTGTGTTTCCTGTAACAGAGCGTATTAATCAGACGGTAGAGATCACCAAACACACGGTCGACATCGAGGAGAAAGGAGTCAAACTCAAACTCACCATTGTGGACACGCCAGGGTTTGGAGATGCAGTCAATAACAATGAATGGTGAGAATTCAGCTGTTCCATGAGCACAATTACAAATCTGATAGTTACGGTCGTAGATGCTGATTGCTCAATACAGCATTTTATGAAAGCAAAAAGTCAAATGAGTTAATCTGACAGAAAAGCCTTAGTATGTTATTGTGTACAGTTCTGTCTCTCTGAAGAGTGTGTGTGTTTGCAGTTGGAGGCCCATCACAGACTACATCGACCAGCAGTTTGAGCAGTACTTCAGAGACGAGAGTGGACTGAACAGAAAGAACATATTAGACAACAGAGTGCACTGCTGCCTGTACTTCATCCCGCCGTTTGGACACGGGTACGAGCGGGTGTCACGGGTCTGTCTCATATGGGTCAGGTTCATATGCATCATCTTCCCATTTGCATAATCAGCCTCGGACCAAGATGTAGATGAGTTTGTTTCTTCATCAGATTTGGAGATATGTAGCATTGCATCACTTGCTCACCAATGGATGCTCTGCAGTGAATGGGTGCCGTCAGAATGAGAGTCCAAATAGCTGATAAAAACATCACAATAATCCACAAGTAATCCACACCACTCCAGTCCATCAGTTAACAGCTTGTGAAGCCAAAAGCTGCATGTTTGTAACATGCAAACAAATCCATGTTTTTAACTTCAAACAGTTGCTTCCAAGTCCATAATCCATAATAATGGTTTCTCCAGTGAAAAGTTTGTCTCATCTGAATCAGGAGAGAAATCTGCACAGATCAAGCACCGTTTACAAGCCAAAACAGTTCTAAACAAATGTATGGTTGGATTTTGATGTGAAGGACCACAGGAGATGGACTTTTTCCACTGCTTTACTATGGATTATGGACTCATATTTTGGCTAGAAGCAACGACACTTAATGATGGATTTGTTTCTTGCAAACACACATCTTTTCACTTCACAAGACATTAACTGATGGACTGGAGTGGTGTGGATTACTTGTGGATTATTGTGATGTCTTTATCAGCTGTTTGGACTCTCATTCTGACGGCACCCATTCACTCCATTGGTGAGCAAGTGATCTGATGAAGAAACAAACTCATCTACATCTCAGATGGCCTGAGGGTTAACACATTTTCAGCAAATTTTAATTTTTGGTGAACTATTCCTTTAACAAACTGACTCGCAGATGTGAATTCAGGACTTCAGAACATATATTTTTCTTTAACATGAATGTGTAAAAAGTAAACATATTTGACTTGCAGGTGCGATTAATGCAAAACGTATTTAATGCATAATAGAAGTGAATATAATTAGAGATGGAGTTAGCATCAGATATTCAGAGACTGTTATCTCTACCGTGCAGTTTGCGGCCGGTGGACGTGGAGTTCATGAAGGCTCTGCATGAGAAAGTGAACATCATTCCTCTGATCTCTAAAGCGGACTGTCTCACTCCTAATGAGGTCAAAAAGCTGAAGGACAGGGTGAGTGCACACTATCTGATCGCATCTCAACAGTTAATCTGATTCTTTTTTGATGGAAGCAGTTATTTTATACTAGGCCAAACGCATCAGCTGTTTCCTGCACATTTGCAGGTTGTGCGATATAATTGTTGTGTTCATAGTGTGCATCTGTTGTCCTGCAGGTGCGAGACGAGATCGAGCGCTTTGGGATTAAAGTGTATCAGTTTCCCGAGTGTGACTCTGATGAAGAAGAGGAGTTCAAACAGATGGACAAAGAGCTGAAGGTCTGGCAAACATTCAGTCTGAAATCTCCACCCAGACTAAATCATTTAAATAATTTCACTCCATTTGGATTGCTTTTACCCTCACGATGGACTTTTTACTGCTGCCAACAGCTGGAGGAGTGAAGCTGATAAACTGCTGTTATGTGCAGATGTTTTTCATGAGGCAGATTAAAGTGTTGCTGCACATTAATATGTGTGTATATTGAATATTGAATGATTTATGTGTCGTGTGTGTGTGCTGTAGGAGTGCACTCCGTTTGCTGTCATTGGCAGTAATACAGTGGTGGAGGCCAGAGGTCAAAGGGTCAGAGGTCGTCTTTACCCCTGGGGTATCGTGGAAGGTCCGAAACACTCTAAACAAGTACAACAAAAAGGGGATTAATGCTTGGCAAATGGATTGTACATATTTATATTATGTTGAAATCACTATGTCAGAGGTGCCATGATGATAGGACTGGCCGATAAACAATATCATATCAAGACTGTGATAAATGTGATTTATGTCGATAACGATGATAAGCTCTGGATGTTTTTACTCTGATTCACTTCAGAAGCTTTTCATAGTTTCATCTGAGAAAATACTACAAGCAAATACACACCGAAACTCAAAGATCTTTGACAAACTGCCAAAATAAAAGTTCATTTTAACTTAATTAAATTATGACAGAAATATATTACTATTGTTTTCTCAAAATAATAATAATAATAATATTTTTAAGGCATATCATACAACCAAGATATTTTTTCATCCATGTTTTAATGTATGCAGCCTCATCTTATTTGATAAAAAACAATGAAAATGCATACAAATGTTTTGTTGCAAATGAATTGTTATATTTTCTTTTGATTACATTTGAAAAGATTTACTAAGTTGTTAAAGTTTTATATACACATTTTTTAATGATAAACTTGTAGAATATCATAAATCAGATAATACAGAAAAAAATGGAAACGCAGAATTTATGGAAAAATCAAATGTGTTTCTTGTGGCCCTAAATTAAAAGGTAGCAACTGTGTGGACTTAAATTGTGAGAAAAAAAAGAAAAAAAGTTTATATTCATTCTCAAGGTCTAACAAACATGGAAAGCTTTCCTTCCCCATTAATGGTAAAAAAAAAAATATTGTGATAATATTTTTGGCCATATCACAAATCCATATACTGAAGTGTGCATGCTTTTTAGGCCAATATTGCCCAGAACATGCTTAGTTTGTCCCAATACTAGTCTACTGCAAGAGTTTCTGGCCATTAAAGTATGCACTTTATCATCATTAGTAAGCGCAGTACATACTGCTCATATGTAGTAGTGGTGCTACAGCATGAACTGCAGTGTTCCAGAGATCTTTACATAAAATTGTCTTCCAAATGAATAAATGTAAATGTCGTTTGTGTGTTCGTGAACTCTAATGCATTTCTTTGTGTGTGTTGTTCAGTGGAGAATCAGTCTCACTGTGACTTTGTGAAACTGAGGAACATGCTGATTCGCTCTCACATGCACGACCTGAAAGACGTGACGTGCGACGTGCACTACGAAAACTACCGAGCCCACTGCATCCAGGAGATGACCAGGTGTGTGACATTCACAGAGTGATCATATAGAGAAGATAAAAACACAGTCAGCTTTGTTTTCAGCCGGCAGGCGGTGTGTAAATGACATGCTGACCTGAGGCTGTTTGACTTTCCAGCCCACATGTGCTTCATATAATGCATGTGTGTGTGTGTTTCAGTAAACTGGCGCAGGATAACCGTACAGACAGTCCACTACCCATCCTGCCTCTGCCCACACCAGACGTGGAGACGGAGAGACTCATTAAGATGAAGGATGAAGAGGTACAGAACAATCGTCACTGATATTAAACCAGCACTCTGATGTGTGCTATAGATTTCTATATAGTTATTAGGACACTAGTGCTATTTTACTAACACTGAGATACTTATTATAGTTTTTATTAATATTTTGAATGAGTTTTTATTTGTATATTTTCCATGTTCAATTTAGTTTTAGTTAGTTTTAGTCATTTTGTTGTGTGTTTTTGTCATTTTTATTAGTTTTCATTATGTCTATATATATATATATATATATATATATGTAATTTTTGTTTTAGTTATTTTAGTACAAGTTAAAATAAATGAAAATGAAAAAATGTACCTGAAATAAAATAGGTTACCATTTGAATATATTTTATTTTATTTTAGTTAACATTTATTTTATTTCAAGTAATTAATTATTATTATTTTTTAGTTACTGTAATAACTAATATCCCTAGGACATATGCTAGTTTAATTAATATTTATGGTCTCCGTACATACATTTTCATACGGATTCATTGTTATAGATACTTGGATGAATCTATGGATGATTTAATTGCCAGCTCGGTTATGGCCAGTATTATAAATCTATACTTTTTGTGTGTTTTTTCATGTTTATCTTCCAATTTAGCCATTTTTTCTTCATTTTCGCTTCATATTCTTCAAACAAGGAAAAACATAAGAAATTTATTGTAAAGTAGCCACACTGCAATGTAAAATTTAGATTTAAAAAATGTAGTAAAGCAGAGCAGTACACAGCTAGAGAAGTGAAATATTAAAATGACACTACCGTTTGAAAATTTGGGGTAAAAAATACAAAATACAAAAACAGTAAAAAAAAAAATGCAGTAAATATATGTATACATATATATATATATATAGAGAGAGAGAGAGAAAGTCTGTTTTGCTTATAAAGGCTGCATTTATAAAAAAAAAAAATCAAATAAAATCAGTAATAATATGAAATATTTTTACAATTTAAAATAACTGTTTTCTATGTGAATATATTCTAAGATGCAATTTATTCCTTTGATGCACCTAGGACATATGCTAGTTTAATTAATATTTATGGTCTCCGTACATACATTTTCATACGGATTCATTGTTATAGATACTTGGATGAATCTATGGATGATTTAATTGCCAGCTCGGTTATGGCCAGTATTATAAATCTATACTTTTTGTGTGTTTTTTCATGTTTATCTTCCAATTTAGCCATTTTTTCTTCATTTTCGCTTCATATTCTTCAAACAAGGAAAAACATAAGAAATTTATTGTAAAGTAGCCACACTGCAATGTAAAATTTAGATTTAAAAAATGTAGTAAAGCAGAGCAGTACACAGCTAGAGAAGTGAAATATTAAAATGACACTACCGTTTGAAAATTTGGGGTAAAAAATACAAAATACAAAAACAGTAAAAAAAAAAATGCAGTAAATATATGTATACATATATATATATATAGAGAGAGAGAGAGAAAGTCTGTTTTGCTTATAAAGGCTGCATTTATAAAAAAAAAAAATCAAATAAAATCAGTAATAATATGAAATATTTTTACAATTTAAAATAACTGTTTTCTATGTGAATATATTCTAAGATGCAATTTATTCCTTTGATGCAAAGCTGAATTTTCAGCATCTTTACTCCAGTCTTCAGTGTCACATGATCCTTCAGAAATCATTCTAATATGCTGATTTGCTGCTCAAGAAGCATTTGTGATTATTATCAATGCAAAAACAGTTGTGCTGCTCCATATTTTTGTGAAAGTTATGGTACATTTTATTTTTCGAGATTCTTTTATGAAAATAAAGTATAGAAAAACAGCATTTATTTTAAATAGAAATATTTTGCAACATTATAAATGTTCACTTTTGATCAATTGAATGCATCCTTGCTAAATTATAAATAATAATAATAATAAAAACCTAATGTAAACTACAAGAAAGTTACAATGACGTTTTCCTGACTGTGTGTTGTTTTGTATGTGCAGCTGAAGAGAATGCAGGAGATGCTGGAAAAGATGCAACAACAGATGCACGAGAAAGACCAGTGATGCTGACACACACACACACACACACTACGGCCCTCACAGCAGCCCTCAGATGTGAATGCATTTAAATGATACTGTACAAATATCATATCTACAGGTCTGAGCCTCAGATCCGCTCTGTTCATCTGCTCGGTGCTTCTGTCTGCCTGCATCAAAAACAATGATTCATCATGAACATACATAAACCAGTCTAACTTAAATTCACTTCTGAAGGTATCTCGTTTATATTGACTTTTGATTTTGCTTAGTTCATTGACGTATGTGTGTGTGTGTGTGTGTGTGTGTGTGTATGTGTACCTGTTTTTCTATTCTGGTGGGGACTTAAACCTGAATACACACAGACTCATGGGGACTCGTGTCACGGTGGGGACCTAAATTGAGGTCCCCACGGGTAAACAAGCTAATAAATCATACAGAATGAAGTTTTTTGAAAATCTAAAAATGCAGAAAGTTTCCTGTGAGGGGTAGGTTTAGGGGTAGGGTTGGTGTAGGGCAATAGAATATACGGTCTGTACAGTAGAAAAACCATTACGCCTATGGAGAGTCCCCACAAGGATAGCTGACCAGACTGTGTGTGTGTGTGTGTGTGTGTTTGGAGAGACAGTGATGTCCTTTTAATATGAATTTGTTGTGTTCGATGGCGGTTTTGATTTTTATAGTGAATGTGAACATACAGTACGGCTCCAATAACTGTTACCAAGAAACATCCTCAGTTCAGACGGCTGGCTTTTGCTCGTTTTCTAACAATAATAATCAGAATAAAATCTATTCCATTGTTATGAGTGTTAATGGCCTTTAATAATTTATATTATGTCAACTGTTTATGTAAATCTTGGAAGTAAAGCTTGCTAATAAATGTGAATAATTTATCAGTTGTTGTTTGTTCACTATGGTTTCATATCCGTATGATTGATCAGCAAGATATATAGTCTCTAAGATATTTTGCTCCGTCATATTTACTGAAAGAAACTCAATACGTGTTTCTTACTAATTCTGAGATGCTTATTCCAAAAATAGTGGCTTTTGGTTTTGTAATATGTTATATATATTACATTTCCATGGATGAAATATATTGTCATATGGTTGCTACATATAATATAATATATATAAAATCATCATATGTGACCCTGGAGCACAAAAGCAGTCTTAAGTCGCTGGGGTATATTTGTAGCAATAGCCAAAAATACATTGCATGGGTCAAAATTATCGATTTTTCTTTTATGCCAAAAATCATTAGAATATTAAGTAAAGATCATGTTCCTTGATGATATTTAGTCAATTTCCTACTGTAAATATATTCAAACTTACTTTTTGATTAGTAATATGCATTGCTAAGAACTTCATTTGAACAACTTTAAAGGCGGTTTTCTCAGTATTTTGATTTTCTTGCACCCTCAGATTCCAGATTTTCAAATAGTTGTATCTCAGCCAAATATTGTCCTATCATAACAAACCATCAATGGAAAGCTTATTATATTTATTCAGCTTTCAGATGATGTATAAATCACAATTTCGAAAAAATTATGACTGGGTTTTCATATTTTACTATATTTATTTATTGACAAAATTTGAATTTGAAAAATCTAATGTGCTGTAGTTCTCCTTTTCATTGATATTTTTGAACTAACATTGGGCCTTTTTGGCAAATCAGCAGGATATTTTTTTCTTTGAAGATGCAGGGCTTTGTAATCCTTCTATTGTTTAATTAAAAGCACAAAGTGAACTGTGGTGTAGTTTTGCTGTCTGTTTCAGATACTGGATGACTCGTGTGCTCTTCATTCACTGGCCAATGCAAAGGAAAAGCGCTTCTGATGTCCCAGTGTCAGAGCGTGAAAGTGCGGCCCACTTCCGGTCACATATTGCTCTGAGGGGGCGGCGTTTGAGTTTTATCAGTGTGACCCAGCTGTGTTTGATGCTGCAGTCTTAACGCTCCTTCAGACTGATACTGACACACAGACACGCTGGTGACGCTGGTAAGAACTTCACTTTTCAATTCATCTCACATCTAACAAATTACATAATATATGCATTAGTTCTGTAACTTAAATATGACTTATTCTCGGTGTATTTAGCTGGTAATTAAATATTATTCATCCAATATTGCTAATGTGTTCTGCTCTCCACACATTGGGACCCTCAGTGAACTAAAGGGCTGGTAAACACACACTTGTTTTTAGTGAATCATACGCGCTGCTGGTTAAAATGAGATATCTGATCAAAACAAGAAGAAAATAAGACAAGGTTTTTATATTTTATTTTATTTTTGCCAGTTGTCACAATTTGAGGAATATATAACATTTTTACAATTAAAATAAAAAATAAATAGAGCTACATATAAAGATATTTATAGCAAACACAAGGAATTTTTTGGGGGGAAGCTTCTGGAACACATCCAGATATAACAAGAAACATCATAATAAAATTAAAGCATTAAATATAAAATTGTACAAAACATCTGTTGGGCTGAGAGAGAGAATAAACATTTACAGATGTATTTACAGACAACAATACAGTGTGGTGAATATATGGTGTATAATAAATAAAATAAAATACAATAATGAAATAAAATATACAAAATAAATTAAGATACCATGGTGACACTATAGATACCATTGTATATTCATGTACCATTGCTTTTAATATTTAAAAACATTTAAAAAACACCATGTTAATAGATTGCTTATGTTAATAGATTATTGCAAATGCCAAAAACGTGATATTGCAGTGGTTTTGCAATATCCAATAACATTTTAGTATTTGTTTGTCAGCATTAATTATATTATATATTAATTATAATTATAAAATAATTGTAGTATTCATTTTTTATTAACGTTTAATTACATTTTGTTGTCATTTTGCGATTCAATTTCAACCTAAAATGTTCATTAGATTCGTATGTATTGTGTTTTTCCTCTACATTGAGACTATGCAATGTTTGTATCATCCCGTACTTTTTTAAATCTTTGTCTTTCTTGCTTCCTTTGCTTCCTTTGCTTCCTCCCGAAATTCCAGATAAACGTAAACATCTCCGTCTATTCAGTTTAGTATTCCATACTTATCTGGCACTGAAAACATCTGGATGTGACTGCATGTATTGTTCTGATGAAGAGCAGGAACATGGCGGTGATTTCGTGTCTCTCTGCAGTGTGTGTGTGTGCTGGCATGCGGTGTGTTGCGCTCGTGTTGAAGGTGGTGCTGTCATTGCTGGGCAGTGAGATGATCGTGGCTCAGCTCTGGTGTCCGGAGGTGTGCTCCTGCGCGGCCGGCGTGGTGGACTGCAGTAAACGCGGCCTCACCACGGCCAGCCTGCCCTCGTCTTTCCCTCCACACACCACCGCACTCCAGCTGAACGACAACCACCTGACGGCTCTGCCCCACGGCCTGCTGGACTCGCTGCCAGCCCTGCGCCGGGCCGCGCTCCATGGAAACCCGTGGTCATGTGACTGCGGCATCCTTTATCTGAGAGGATGGCTGCTGAAACAGAGCAACCCCGCTTCCATACAGTGAGTGCGTGCAGGAAAGATTAAAAACAAATTACATAATATATGCATTAGTTCTGTAACTTAAATATGACTTATTCTCGGTGTATTTAGCTGGTAATTAAATATTATTCATCCAATATTGCTAATGTGTTCTGCTCTCCACACATTGGGACCCTCAGTGAACTAAAGGGCTGGTAAACACACGCTCGTTTTTTAGTGACTCATACGCGCTGCTGGTTAAAATGAGATATCTGATCAAAACAAGAAGAAAATAAGACAAGGTTTTTATTTTTAATTTTTTTAATTTTTTGCCAGTTGTCACAATTTGAGGAATATATAACATTTTTATGATTAAAATAAAAAATAAATAGAGCTATATATAAAGATCTTTATAGCAAACACAAGGAATTTTTTGGGGGGAAGCTTCTGGAACACATCCAGATATAACAAGAAACATCATAATAAAATTAAAGCATTAAATATAAAATTGTACAAAACATCTGTTGGGCTGAGAGAGAGAATAAACATTTACAGATGTATTTACAGACAACAATACAGTGTGGTGAATATATGGTGTATAATAAATAACTCACCACGGCCAGCCTGCCCTCGTCTTTCCCTCCACACACCACCGCACTCCAGCTGAACGACAACCACCTGACGGCTCTGCCCCACGGCCTGCTGGACTCGCTGCCAGCCCTGCGCCGGGCCGCGCTCCATGGAAACCCGTGGTCATGTGACTGCGGCATCCTTTATCTGAGAGGATGGCTGCTGAAACAGAGCAACCCCGCTTCCATACAGTGAGTGCGTGCAGGAAAGATTAAAGATGGGATTGAAATTTTGGATCGAGTCAGAATGAGTTGATTCAGCTTGAGTTTTTTTCTGCTGCACTGAGGCAGAGACTTTCATCTTTCAGATCTTCTTCTTCAAATTATCTGTATTCAATCTATATTCTTATTTATTTAAAATGAATAATATAAAAAAATTATTTTATTTTGGTTAAAAGAAAATAAGTTGAGTTTCATATGCTGTTTTTTTTTTTTTACAGTTGTTAAATGTTAAAGAATATATACCTATTATTAAAATAATAAAATAAAATAAAATAAAATACAAATGTAAAATACAAATAAAATGTATTTCTGATTTATGGAGTGACAAAAAGAGACTTCTGTTAAAAAAACTTAAAACTTAAATCATAAAAAAAATTTTTATTTGAAATAAAATTTACTTTAATAAAATGAACTGAAATAAAACATAAACATAATTTTTATTTCAGCTTGTTATACCAAGGCAATATTTTATTTTATTTTCATTATTTTAATTTAGTTTAAAATTAATTTAAAATTAAATTAAGATAATACCGGTAATAATAAAAAACTATACAGACAGATTTTTAAAAAACTATTAAAAAAAATACAAAACACAAACTTCAACTAAAATTCAAATGAAATCAGAAAATACAAAAATAGAAATGATAATAGTACCTCAATGATACTACATTCACACTGATGTCCACAGAATGAAAAATTTTGAACCTGGC